GTAGATTTGAACTCTGTCCTATCTTATGCCATCCTTTTCATCCTCGATGCATCTGAGTCCGTTGCACACAGACCTGTATCAATCCAACTCATTGAGGATCTTCCTCTCCTTCATTGACCCTCCACCTTTCCAAGCATGATGACCCTTTTCAAGGAATATCCTTTCCTAACAACATGTCCAAAATATGTGAGGTGAAGCTCACCATCTTTGCTTCCAAGGAACATTCTGGTTCCACTTTCTCTTTTGTCTGTTATTTTGGCAGTCCATTGGATATTCAGTACACTTCTTCAACACTATAACTAAAATGCTTCTATTATTCTTCTGTAATCCTTATTCGTTGTCTGGCTTTTGGAAGCATAGCAAGCGAATGGAAAGACAGTGCCTTGAATCAGGTGCACCTTAGTCTTTAAACTGAAATCACTGCTCTTTGGGACTTTGGAGAGATCATTTAATCCTTAATGGATGGATAAAATAATCATTAAGCATCTGACTGACAGTGGAATCCTGCTCTGTTGCCCACTGAGTGAGCTCAGGCAAAGTGCTCAACTCCCTTAGTTATCCTTTATTGTTTTGAAGCTTTTTATTGTGATCTGGATGGGAGTTTACAGAACAAATAGTTTTTCTATTCAGCATTTCATACACATTGTTTCTAACATTGATTATAATCTCCACGTAGTAACAGTAATCTTTTTACTTCCTTCTTGTGTTTCCCATTTTCATTAATCCTTCTTTCCTATATCTTCCTCTCTTCTGATCTTCCAAAAGAAAATGCAACTTGATTGCTGATCTTCACGTCGTAGCTAACTTATCACTGAGTTTCTGAGGCTATAATTGCACAATACTGTATAAATTGCTCCTCTTCCTCTTGTGGAGCTGCTGAGAGGTGTGGCCTTTGCTTTAGCAGCATAATTCCCTATAGGTAAATCTAGGGGTAAATGTTGCCCTTTTTCTTTCCTTTGGTTGACTATTCTAGGGAGTATGCTCCTCTTTGATGTACAGGCAACATCTATTGTTTGGGTGAAAATTGAAACATGGGTGATTTCAGTTTGCAAATTTAAAGGATGATTTAGGATTATAATCTTGGGGTTCCACCACTTCCTATCAAACATGGTCTATTTTTATGATCTATTCATTCTCTCAGTTTCTTTTTTTTTAGTGAGGAAAAATTTGTATTTTGGGTTAGCCAGCTGGACTCAGTTTAGATTACCCAATTTTGTTGATAACATCCAAAGCATCATAGTCAGGAGCAAGTTGAACAGCGTGTTCTCTCCATCAGGCCTAATCAAGGTGTTGACCTTGGCCACATCGATGTCACAGAGCTTCTTTACAGCTTTTTTGATTTGGTGCTTGTTGACCTTGACATGTGGATCCTTTTTTATGGCTGAGGATGTCTTTCAGGACTGTCTTCTTGGTCTTGAACACCTTTGCTTTGGTTTCAGTTTTGGGAGAGGCCGGGAGTTCCTTCTTCACTTTAGGCACCATCTTCATAGAAAGGTGTCTGTTTCTTTTACTGTAAAATGGGTGGTTGTTATGGGCTGTGAAGTTGTTTGCGACTGATAGATTCCTGTGTACAACAGCTCTCAACCTATCTCTATCCTGAGCCAAACTTACTGTCTCTGAAACACCTACTACCATTACCCCAGTCACTGAGTCAATCCATATCATCCAGGGTCTTCCTCTCTTGTCTTCACCCTTCCATGCATGATGTCCTTCTCCAAGGACTGGTCCTTCCAGGCCACATGCCTAAAGTATGTCAGATGGAGTTCCAGAATCCAGAAGCCACCTGGTTTTACCCTCTGCAGGACAAAATTGTTCTCCTAGCAGTCCATGGTATATGCCATACTCTCCTCCAGCACCACAGCTCAAAGGCATCAATTCTCCTTCTGTCATCTTTAGTCATTGTCCAGCTTTCTGATTCATAGAATGTGGCCTGCCTCAGGCACATCTTAGTCTCCATGTAGACATTGTTGCTCTTCAGTATTCTGGAGAGGTCCCTGACAGCAGATTTTCCAAATGCAATTCATTTTTTTAATTTTCTGACTGCTGGTATCAAGAGTGTTGATTGTGGAGCCAGACAAACTGTAGCTGTTAACAAAATCTCAATCTCTTCACCTATCATGAGGCTGCCAATCAGCCCAGTGGTGAGAATTTTTGTTTTCTTTTTCTAGTTAATTTTAATGCAAGTTTACAGAGAATTAGGGTTTCCAGTCATTTATTGTTGCACTTTTCTCCCCTCCCCACAATTCACTTTTCTCCTTGATAATTAAAAGAAAGACTCTTTCACTGCTATGCAATCTCTCCCCCCAAGTCCACTGAACTGTGCAGCCTTCCTTCAGGACTCCTGACGTGACAATAATACCTAATCATATATCCCTTTTAAACAGTTCTCTCCCTCATCTGTTGCAATGCAGTATACATCATTCCTCCCCTTCTTCTCTGTCTTCCCTCAACCCCAATGTCAGTCCTATTTTACAATAGTGGCCCCGGGCAATATTTGTCCTTTTGTGACTGAGATATTTCACTCAATATAATGTCCTCTAGGGTCATCCACTTAGCATAATATTTCATGAGCTCCTTGTTTTTCAGTACATAGTATTCTATTGTGTGAATATACCAGAGCTTCTCTATCCCTTTGTTTATGGGCACTTGGCTTGTTTCCAGCTCTTTGCTATTGCAAACAAAGCCTCAATAAACATCAGAGTGCATATATCTGCTTGGGTAGCAGTTATGGTTTCTTTAGGGTAAATTCCCAGAAGTGGAATTGCTGGCTCAAATGGTATTTCTATTTCCAACCTTTTGAGAAAGCACCATACAGCTTTCCAAAGTGGTTGCACCATTTTACACTCTCACCAACAGTGAATTAGGGTTCCAATTTCTCCACAACCTTGCCAGCATTTGTTGTTTGAATTTTTGTTTTCTTGATGTTGAACTTTAATCCATATTGAAGGCTGCAATCCTTGACCTTCTGCAACAAGTGCATCCGGTTCTCCTCAGTTTCAGCAAGCAAAGTTGTGTCATCTGCATATTGCAGGTTGTTGATGAGTCTTCCTCCAATCCTGATGCCACATTCCTCCCCATAGAGTCCAGCCTCCCAGATGATCTGTTCTGCAAATAAATTGAAAAGGTATGGAGATAGGACTCATCCCTGGTGTACACCTTTCCTGATTTTGAACCATGCAATGTTTCTTTGCTCTGTTCTGATGATTGCCTCCGGATCCAAATATAGGTTCCTTGTAAGCACAATCAAGTATTCTGGTACTAACACCTTAAAGAATTGTTAAGGAACTACCTGAAATAAAGCTCTTAAAGCCCTAAGCATCTCACTCTTAATTCTCATTGCCTCAGGTTGGAACCCACTCATAACTGCCCCTCGAGCAGGTTTTCAGAATTTGTAAATTGCACAAAGACAGTCTTTCTCCGAAGATACTGTTGGTGGATCTGAACCATTAGAGAAACACCATCTATGGCTTAGCATTTCAACTCACAGTGGGCTTTACCACCAGAGCTCCCCAGTCATAAGGATAGTACCATTAATTCACATTATTATCTTCTAACCACCTATACTGGGCTAGTTCTCCTTGCCTCCTCCCAGCTACACTCAGAAAACATGTTACATCTTTGATCAAGTTCTGGGAGCCTGTGTGGAGTCTGGAGGAGGCCCCACACTCAGGTGCTTAGGTAGCTGTGTGTACTGTGTGTCTTGGGGTGAGGGGAGCTGCTGCCTCTGCTCTTTGTTCAAACTCGTGGCTCAGGCAGTAGCAGGCGTGGGCGTCCCCAAGGGAGGCACTGACAGCTTCAGTTCTCACAAGGGCTTTCTTTGCAGGTGACGGCTAGAGGTGGCTGGGTCCTGACAGGGAATGTGGAAGCTGACCCCACGGTGCCCTAGCTCTTGGTGGATGGGAGCCCTCCTTGAGCCAGCCCAGGTTAGCACTGAATGTAGCTCCGTCTGTCTACCCATCTGCTTCTCACAGGACAAGGAGCTGAAGTAGCCTTCCCTAAATTATTAATTGACTTCTAGCTGACCCCTACTCCTTTCTAGATCTCAGCTTTCTTAATCCTAAATGGAAGGTTTAGACCCAATCATCTCTGATGGGCTTGTCACAGACCAAGTAAGTACTGATTCCTCTTTAGAGATTTAGGTCCCTTGTTCCACTGGACCTGAGTTTTCTTGTCTATTAAAGGTGTTTCTATCCATGTTCATCCTTTCGCTGGTGGCTTTAAAAACAGAGTCAAGGGAACAGGTGAAATAGAAAAAAAATTGTTTATTGAAAAGTGAAGGGGTGGCTCCCTTATTGATGCCCTGTAAGGCCTAGCCAAAGGTGGTTGCCACCCTTTCAGCACTTCACACAGGTGTTTCAAAGAAGAAAAAAACCGGCAGCCCACACATTACCTTTAATAGCTTAAAGGGGAAATGCCATTCAGGGATGATAAATCCTAGATTCAGGTCTCAAAATGACCTTTTCGAGGACTTGCCTTTAAGACCTTCTTAAAGGAAAAGTGGCCAAGTATGGTAGATAAGAGTCTCTGAGAAGGGTCTCCGTGTCTTTACCTTTAAGAATCTCTTAAAGGGCAGGCATAATCACCCAGAGTACAAAGGAGAAAATTCTGTAGAGGAGTCTACAAAGCACTTTTTCTATTCTTGCTTTTAGACTCTGTTTACAGAAGACGTGGCCAAGCGCGAATGAATTAAAAACAAAATACCTTGCAAAACTTCCTTCCTAAACCTCCTCTATCACCAGCCGCAGAACGCCCCGCACGTTTGCAGGTTTGTTTCTGGGCCTAGAGGCGCTCTGGGGCTGGCACGCACCCGGAGAACCCGAGTGGGGACGATGCCCACTCTGGGCAGGATCTGGGTGCTTGCTCCGGCGGGCACAACAGGCATCACAGCAGTTTTTGGTTTCCTAGACGGCCTCCAGCGAAGAAGCCGGACCTGGGCGGGGTGAAGGGCGAGCAGAGGGCGCGGTGGCCATGGTGACCGCGGTGGCCATGGCGACAGCAGCTCAGAGCACTGAGAGGTCGTGGCAGGACCTGGAGCGCTGCTTGAAGAACTTGGCGTTGCGCGGCACCAGGTTGGCGAGGAAGCGCTTGGCCTTCTTGGTGAGGCTCTCTCGGCGCGCGGGCAGCATGGGGCCCTCGGGGCTCCCCTGCTCCGGCTTGTGGGCGCCGGTGCGAGCCCGGCTCCGCCGCAGCCGGATCTGGCGCACAGCGCCCTCGAAGAGCTCCCGCGTGTTGTGGTGCAGCGCAGCCGAGGTCTCGATGTGCTTGCAGCTCAGCGTCCCGGCCAGGTGGCGGCCCTCTGCGGGAAGGGGGGCGCTCTGGAGTCTGCTGGGTAACACTGGGCCCAGGCAGGGCTGGGGTCTAAAGGAGGTCCCTAGTGTGAGCCACAGACGCGTTCTGGGCACCAGACAGTCCCGCCCAAGTGAAGTGAAAGAACAAGGATCACCGGGTGGGACAGTGGAGATGCAGAGGGGGAAGGGAAAGGGGCCAGGAGAAGAGGTGAAGGGGCGTGGAGAGAGGGATTCCGAAAGCAATGGGCCCTTAAAAAACAGACTTAGGGAGAAAATGTGGGTATCCAGAGTGGCCCCCAAAGGACGTGTTTCAGTATACACACCCTCCAGTGACACCTCCCTGGAGCGGGCTAGGTCACTCTTGTTGCCCACGAGGATGACAGGTAGGTCATGGTGGGGCCTCCCAGCCCGCAGCCGAAGTAGGGTTTCTGGAACTTTGGAGAAGCTTCTTCTGTCAGTGACTGAGAAGACGATGAGAAAGGCATCCCCGGTCTGCAGGCAGTGGTCCCGCAGCCACCCCCCTGCATCCCCCTGCAGATGGGCAGAGAGTGAGCAGGATGTCAATACTAGAGGCTCAGGGACCCTAGCTTGTAAGATGAGGAAATCTTGTGAAGGAAAAGCTACCTGCTTAGGACAGCGGGCCTGATTAGGGGTAGAATCTCCATGCCTTAAGTGTGTTATGGAGGAGAGAGAAGTTAGTAATGGGAACCCTTCATGGAGAATTGGGGAATCATTTTTTAGACTAGGGTTGCCATCCTTTCTTATATAAATATTAGCTGATTTAAAAATTAATATTATTCTAGAAGAGAAATTTGGCTCTGTAAACTTTCGTTCAAATTACAATAAAACATTAAAATCAACCATTATTCCACTCTTACATAGTTTGGCCTTTCGCTTCTTTATCTTTAAAATTTTTTGCGTGTGTGTGTCCCTGAAACGGAACTCTCAGTAGGATAAGACTCTTAGGGACTGAGAAATTTATCGATAGGGTCAGTTTCAAAATGCTCAGTCTAGCTCATAGCTTCAGGGTTTGTCAATTCAGATCCTAACTTTTCTCTAGGTCAGAGGATCTAGTGGTTCTTGAAGTCACAGGAGCACACTGGTGTGGGCTTTTACTCTGGGATGATACAAATGAATGGCCAAGTTCTCAGAATGAGTTTCAACCAGTGCCTGTAATCCCACCAGCATTCAACCAGACTCTGCTTTTCCCCAGCTCTGGCAAGCGTCATCACCTGCTTGCACCCACCTCTTAGTTCTTACCTGTTCCCAGATGTCATATACAACTAAAGTCACTTCCTCCTTATCCACCATGATTCGTCTCTCATAGGAATCCTCTGTTGGGAGAACAGGGAGAGAGACCAAGCCTGTTAGAAGGCTCCCCAGCACTTGTGAGACCTGGTTACCAGGGATGCCTCTGAGCTTAACACCAGGGACCCCCTCCAGGGAGGGTGCCACAGAAAGCATTGGAGAAGCCTCCTTAGATTCTTGCCTCTAGGGGCCGCTCATGCCATGGGTACTTCTGTCTCTGACTAAGGCACCAGAGGGTCCCTCACCTGCAGGATTCTCCAAATACCTGGGTTCTCAGGGTCATGAGCACTGTCTCCCTGAAGACCACCAAAAGTGCCGGCTAAGGTGCTCTTGCCTACGCCGCTCTCCCCTACCAGCATGACCTTGAAGATGCCATCGTTTTGGTTGGGGGCTGCTTCTGACCCCAAGGAGTCTGAGGAATCTGAGGATGAGGCCTGAGGTGGCCAGTCCAGTTCGTCTACTGCCTGGGCCCTCCGTAGCTGGTGCTTATAGGGAACAGGCATACTCCCTCTTCGTCTGGGGGCCCCTGGTGCAGAAGCTGGAGTGCTCTGGTCCAACCCTGCCAATAGTTTCTCTGGTTTCCTCAGCAGTGTGGTGACTGCCTCTGGAGAGCAAAGAGAGGAAAGTTTCATGTAGGTTGTGCCCAGCTGTCTGCAGTGGGATCATTCCTGGTGCCCTATCAAGGTCTATGCTCACAGAAGATGCTGAGACCGCTTTCAGAAACCTGAGCTGGTGGGGCTCCCAGCGAGTTGGCCTGATGGTTTTCCCAATAATTGGTCCCAGTCACAAACTGGTTCAAAACATGCATCATGCAGGGGAGGCACCTGTGCGCAAGCGTGCACACCCACTCACACTTCGCACTGACACAGAGGCACACCCCTAGACTAGGCCTCTGGCCCCATGCTGCCCCTCCTTCCACCAAGAAGCCCAGCTTCCCACTGCTTCTCTTGCATGCCTCAAACTGAAAGGGGCAGAGGGGATGAGAAGCTGACAGTGCTGCCTCAGCTCTGTGGGTACTAAGTAAAAAACTTTGTGGGGAGCTTGTTCCCAGAGAAAGGACTGTGCTCTGGGGAGATATGGGTGTGAGAGGGCTGTCCTTTACTGAGGTTCCTGCAGATGAACATCTCCCAGGGCATGCTTGTGCGTGAGAATCTTTCTACATATCTGGCTGTCCCTAGAGAGTGGGGGAGAATTCTCTCTCTCTCTCTCTCTCTCTCTCTCTCTCTCTCTCTCGTGCGCGTGCACGTATGAGAGAGAATGTGAAGAAGGGAGAGAGTGACAATGCATGGGTCAGGGTAATTGGAGGAGGAACAACAGACACAACAAAGGGGGATGGAGGGAGGCTGGAAATAGCCCAGGATCAATACCTGGCTGGCAGCCAAGGCCTCCTGGAGCCAGAAGAAACCCTCACAATAGGTCCCCAGAGGAGACCCCTGCCCGTGTTTCCCTGGCTTTGCGGGCTGCCCTTTTCTTTCCTCTTCCTGCCTTTAGGGAATGAGGCTTATCGAGGGGCTACCAGTCTCCCGGTAAAGTCTAAGGTATGGTGGGGGAGGGTACATTGAGGCAGCTCTCTTACCCTCTACCCTCCACCCTAGCTCAGCCCTGGCCCCGTGAAAGTGGAGTCTTCCCCACTTTTTGAGTTGCTTTCCCCTCTTGCAGTTTGTGCTCAGCTCCTTCAACCCGTTTCTTACTTCCCCTCCAGAGCTTAAGCTCCTACCCTCAAGCTTTCAGCCAGAGCCTACCCAGTCCTCACCTGGTGTGGGTGTGCCCGGTGGGGAGCCCTGGAGGCTGTCCGAGGGGCAGAGTGCAGTGGTTTCCGTGTCTGTGTCCATGTTGGCGGCTGGGTCCGTTTGCATCGGTGTGCGTGTGCAGCCTGGCGGCTTATAGCACCGGCTGCCTCCCTCAGCAGCACTGTCAGCTTTTCCCTTTAAATACCACCCCCCCAAGCTTGCCCTCCCCCCCACCCCAGACACCTGGGGAAATTGTACCGCCCCCTGATGAAGTCACACATGCTAATGAGCAGTGATGTCAGCGGGATTCCCTCCTTTCTGCCTCCCCATTTCCTTTGTGTTGCTTCCCTCGGGGAGCGTGTACACACACATACACACACTCTATTTCATGAGCAGAACAAAATTAGAGGTGCAGATGGGACAGAATTTAGAGAGGTGGGGCGCGTCTGTGGCTAAAGGAGCTGAGGATAGCTGGGACCTGAGTACTGGGAGTTCTCAAGGAGCCTATGCGTCATTTGTCTCTGGTGTCATTTGTCTCACCCATTGTCCAGCACTGAGTGGGTGATTAGTGGCAGAATGGAGGAGCAAAAGGCTAAAAGCTGATCCAAAAGATATGTAAAAATGGGTCAAAGAGGTGTAGGGACTGGGGAGTAATCCCATTCCTGCATCTTCCTTGTGTAAGACATTATTAGAAACTAGCCATGAGAGTACTGAGAAAGGAGAGTACCCTTACGCAGATGGGGGCTCAGAGGAGAGAGCTGCTTTGGGCACTTTAATTTTGCCTTTAGGTTCAAATGGGGCAAACCTTTGTGGGGACCCCTTCCCTTCTCTTTTTCCCTGTGAGAGCCTCCAAGTCAGTGTTAATCAAAATAAGCAGAGAGGGAGAAATTAATCTCAAAGCTCAGCTCTCATGTGTGTGCATTTGTGTAATCACACATTGACAGACCCCGTCCCAGAGCTCTCTGGGGAAACCACCAAGCTTTCTGGCTCCAAAAGGCAGATACATGCTGTTCATCTCTGTGGCCAGTCAGATGATGTATCTACTGCTCCTTCTCTGCCCAGTTTCCTTTCCTTCCTTGCTCTCTTTCTGACATTCCCAGAACCAGGCACACATTCCAGTTGCCTCTTCCCCCCAAGGAATTTGTTCCTGGAAACACCTTTCTCTGATCAGCTCTGGTGGTCTAATAGCAAGAAGCTGTGCTGCAATCCTGAAGACATGTGGTTTGAAGCCACCAGCTGCTCTGCAGTAAAAGGATGGGCAATCTCCTTCCGTGTGATTAACTGCCTCTGAAAACTTGCTGGAGGGCCAGCTGTGGGTTGGTTCCAACTTTGCAGTACACAAGGCTACCACAGTGCATCTTTCTAGAGACTAAGGTGCACCTGATCCAGGCCATCATCTTCATGATTAGTTGCTATGCATCAGAGAGCTGGACAATGACTAAGGATGATAGAAGAAGAATCAATGTACTGGAGAAGGGTATTGAACATACCATGGATTGCCAAAAGAACAAATAGGTCTGTCCTGGAGAGGTTGAAGCAAGGTTGCTCCTTGGAGGCAAAGATTTTGAAGCTCCATTTCATACACTTTGGGCAAGTTGCCAGGAGGGATCAGTCCTTGAAGAAAGACTTCATGCTTGGAAGAGTGGAGGAACAGCACAGGAGAGGAAGACCCCAGATGAGATGGATTGACACAGTGACTGGGGGTAGGTGTGTCGGAGACAATCTGGCTCTGGATAGGGCAGGGTTTTCAGAGCTATTGTACACAGGGTCACTATGAGGCACAGGCAACTCAGAGCATGTAACAATAATGCACCTTTCTGTAATATCTCTTTTCATCCTCAGAGGCTAGCTAGAAGCTTGTCCCCTAATCAATCATTTGGGCACCTGAAACTAGGGATGCGAGGATTCTCACCCAAAGCTTTCCAGTGCTGGAATGTTTTCCATTTCTGCACTGTGCTGCCTTCCATTTCTCAAATATTTTTTTCCTATTAATGGAAGCAATGTATATTGCAATATTCAGCAGACTTTTCCAATGAAAGGGAAGATAATAACAGAGCAACACAGGGTCCAGAGGGAACGGAGTGTACTCCTCAGCAGTTCAAAGACTCATGTACTTTACTCGCTTTCGGTAGACTTTTAAGTTTTTAATCACAGCCTATTTGTCTTTTGTCACAATTTTAATGTGTCTGTGTTGATGTCTTTGAGTTATAGTGTTGGAGGAGAGGATCCTGAATATCCCATGGACTGCCAAAAGAACAAACAGATCTGTCTTGCAGAAGGTACAGGCCGAGTTCTCCCTGGAAGCAAGGATGGTGAAGCTGGTTCATCTTGTATACTTTGGGCATGTTGCTAGGAGAGGCTATTCCTTGGAGAAGGACATGCTTGGAAAGGTGAAGGAACGGTGAAGGAGAGGAAGATCCCCAACCAGGTGGATTTACACTGTAGCTGCAGCAACGGGATCGAGTGTGTCAGGTTGTGGCTAGGACAGGGTTCAGATCTATTGTTTATAGGGTTGCTATGAGTTGTACGACACCTAATAATAAATAATATGTATTCTGAGCTCTGGTGGCCTAGTGGTAAGGGGCTGTGCTGCCATTTTGAAGGTACATGGTTTGAAACCAGCTGCTCCAAGGCAGAAAGATGACCAGTTTGTTCCTGTGCACTTAAATTGTCTCTGAAAACCCACTCAAGGGTTAGCTAGGGGTTGGTTACAACTTGGCGGTACACAGTAACATGTGTGGACTAGTAGATTAGAAGCACATTCAGAACAGCAGATGACCCCTGGTAGCAAAAGAGGCAATACTATTTTTAAAAACAAAACAAAAACACTTTAAAGTATTTAAAAAGTTTTCTGAGATAATTTAGCATAAAGGCAAACAGTTTCCTTGACAGTTATGCCTTATCTGAAGATACTGCTGCAGAGAAAACATTGCTTCATATAACTGATTTTCAGTTATTTTTTTTAATTAGATCACAGACATTTTAGGATGGCTTCCTCCCAAAAAGAGGTTTTAAACTGTTAAGTTGTAAAGGAGTGTGCTTTTCTTATTTAGGAAATCCACTTAAGGTGACTGGATATATTTCTATATTAGCAGATGAGAGTCAGGGGGTGTAGGTCCCAGTAATGATTGCCTATCATGACCCTTGGTTCAACCTTGGAGCACTGGAGCAGGCTTTCATCCTGAACATTCCTCTACTACTTTTTCAAGCAACCGGGCGTACTGGTAAAGGACTAGACATTGTCTTCTGCTATCCTCTCACCCATGTCAGGGTAAGGGAGTTTTGCAATGAAACTGATCCAGGTTTAAATCAGTAGAGATTTGGTCAGTCTTATAATTTCCCTGAAGCGGCTCTTGTATTTGAAATGAGTTTAAGGAACCATGCCACAGCACAGACTTGTGAAGGTTAACTGTTTAAGATACAGTATCTGGCATTCAAAAGGTGTCCAATTATTTAGTCCCCTTGATGCTTCTACAAATACTGGCTTTGTGGATGAGGGGTTCCTCTCCTCTGGCCAGGCTCAGAGTTTGGGTCAGGTTTAGATCTTATGCCTTACAAACTGAATGATGGTATCTCCCATTACCTCAGAATCAGATTCACACCTGAGACCCCCTGCCCTTCCCCAACTCCCCAAAGCCTTGATATAAGTCCTATAACCTTCAGATTAGACACCTTATAGTGCTTATCCTGATGGGTCTTGAAGTTGTCTTTTTCCTTGGGTCCTGGTGACAATGAACTTGAGTGTGTGTGCTTCCTAATGCCCTACCCTCTACAGAGGAGGACCTTCTGAGTTTTTCCACAGATTGTTCACAGCTTTAGTTTGCTTGGCTCCACAGGCAACACTCTTGGCACCAGCAGCCAGGAAATTAAAAGACGTATTGGATGGGAAAGTCTGCTATTAGGGACCTCTCCAAAGTACTGAAGAGCAATGGTGTCTCTCTGGAGACTAAGGTGCATCTGATACAGGCCATGGTCTTTGCAATCACTTATTATGCATCAGAGAGTTGGACAGTGAGTAGGGAGTATAGAAGGAGAATTTATGTCTTTGAGCTGTGGTGCTGGAGGAGAGTATTGAGTGTACCGTGGACTGCTAGGAAAACAAACAGATTCATCCTGGTTAGGGTTAAACTGGGCTGCTTCTTGGAGGCAAGGATTCTGAGGCTTCGTCTGACATACTTCAGACATGTTGTAAGGAGGGACCGGTCCTTAGAGAGGGACATCATGCTTGGGAGGGTAGAGGGACAGCACAGGAGAGGAAGACCCTCTATGAGGTGGACTGATTCAGTGACTGGGGTAATCGGGATGGGAGTGTCAGACACAGTGCAATTGGCACAGGACAAGAGCAAAGTGTAGGGCTGTTGTACATAGGGTCACTATGAGTTGCAAGCGACTTGACGGCACATAACAACAGCAACATTTGTGCAATACTCCACTTTCTCTGCCACTCTGTTTCTGACAAAAGCACTGTTCTGCTTACCCTTCAGAGCACACACCTGGCATCTAGAGTTTCAGGCCTTCTGAAATGTAAAGGGTTTAAGCAACTCCAGTGAACTGCTGTAAACACCTTCCAGCATTCTGAAGCATTCCACCATGAGGGAATTCCACCTTAAACCTTTGTTCATTTTTCAGTTGTCAGTGCTCCCAGGAAAAAGTCTGCATAGGACAAGGAATGAGGCTGACGGTTTCTGAGTTAGCTATGGAGCAAGAGAGAGGGTAAAGGAGAGGCAGGGCAGGAAAAAGCAACATTGTCCTGCTTCATTGCTTTGTTTAGTCTGTCACTCATTAGATTCAAGTGATTTGTGCTCTTAGGATGGGCCTACAGGAAGAACAGTAACCAAGAACCAGGTTCTCTTGAGCCTCTTCCTTAATCTCTGGGAAAGATCTAATGCGAGAGGTACTTGGGTCTACCAATGGCTGAGATACAAGGGTCCCAGGACCGCACAAGGATCTATACCTGTCCTCAGGCCCTTCCCCAGGCTCCTGTCAGTAGGAGAAAATGAAAAAAAAAAAATTATTGCTTAAGGTTTCTGAGGTTGGAGGAGATGATCTCTTTTTCTCATGCAGAATGGCTGGTAGATTTGAACTTTAATTTTAGAAGAGGAGTAACCTTTGGGTTAGTAATGCAATTCCTTACAGGATAATTAGAGCTTCCTAGGAGGGAGGAGATATTCAGCTACAAGTGGCATCTACTTTCTAAACAACATGCCTCTGGAAATTCTATAAACTTTGATGAATGTCGATAGTTGTAGAGGGGCTTCTTCTGGCCTTTTTTTCACAGGGTCTCTATGAGTCGTGCTCAACTTCAAGGCAATCAACAACAGTGCTGGATATGAGGACACTCATAGGGAGTAATCAGTGGTTCTCTTCTCTAGAGGGGTTGGGGTAGGCCAGACCAGGCAGAAAGACTGACAGGTTGTTGCCCTGGAGACTGGTTCTCTTGGGGATGCTTTAGCTCTGTGTCTAGGTTATCACTTCGACTCCTAAGGGTTCTTTCTATATCTTTTTGCCCTGTCTTTTCAAACTTTGGTCAGCTTCTGTCACCTTAGCTATCAGAAGGTGGACTCAAACACATCTTGCAGAACATTTCCTCACCCTCCTCAGTCCTGGCTAATGCTTGCCCTTTAATCCAGCCCTTAGGAGATACAGAATTTAAAGCCCAAGCTCTCATGTACCTTTAGTTTGTCTGTCCCTGTGGATTCTCCTATTACCTAGAATTCACAGTTCTATTGCAACTATCTTTAGAATCCAGTCTGGGTCCTCTTTCAGGAAGACTTCTTGGATTTGGCCATGATGATGCCAGTATCTTCACACCCTGGATTTTTCTCTTTATTTTTGAGACATTCTGGCTATGAGTCCATGTCTTGACTAGAACAGACAGTAAGTACCTGGCGGTAGAGGGTAAAGGGGAGGAGTCATGGCCTCTGCTTTCACCAGGGACTGCTCCTGTGACATGTGCTCTGGGAGTACTCCAAACAGAACTTTTTTGGCTGCAGGGCCCAGCTGGCTCCCCAAACTTCCAGCCAAGCAGTGAGCTTGGTGTTCACTATTCTGGGCTCTGGGCAGGAAGTGAGTAGGGGTTGAGAGGGTTTACCCTTAGGGTTCCTACAACAGTCCCGCCCTCTGGGTATTATAGAATAAAGGGTGGAAGGGTGGGGTGGCTGGGAGGGGGAGGAAAGAGCGAAGGCTTCCATGGAGTGAGGTAAAGCGAGGATAAGCTGGAGTGAATATAGAGGCAGGGTTTAGGCTCACAGCTAATTTGCAAAAATTTTAAAATTTCTGATTCCTTTATTTTTAACTTTGGCTTCCTGGAAAATGACCCAGCTATGGGACAAACACAGTTTTTGAGTTCTATGAGCCTATAGAAAGAATTACAGTAGGCAAGGCCTCAGACCCTGCTTAAAACCTCTTTGGGGACTGGAATGTCTACAACCAATTGACATCCTGGTGCATAAGGTCACTTTCAGTAGGGCTTTGGCAAGGATGGTGTGTATGTCCAGGCCTATGACCTTTTAAGAACTAAAAGTTTCTAACACAGTCACCAAATGGTGGTAGGGTGGTGGAGGGAAAAGGTGATGCGGGAGGGCTTGTGATTTCTGGTTGTGTGAGAAGAGGTTCTGTGTGAGCCCTCTCCCTGCCTGGGGGACATCTAACTTTACAGCAGCCACTGTGGGATCACAGGACGTCCACCAGTCCCTTCAGAGGCAGGACTGGAGGGAAGGGGGTAAAGGGAAGATGTTGTTGCCATAGGAACCAGAATCCCTGGGAAGCTAGGTTCCCTCAGGAAAGCAGTGGCTCATCCTCTGCCTCAACTACCCAGACCTCCGGCTCAGCCAGTGGCAGAAGCAGCACATCATCCTCATCCTCTGGGGACAGGACTGTGTGGGGTCCAGGTAGGATCCGGGCTGGTCCTGGGGTCCGCAGATTGGGCAGAAGGCGGCCCCGTAGGACCTGCACCATTCCAGACAGCAGTGATGGCTCAAGGGATGCTGAGGGCAGTGGCCCAGGAATCTCAGAGAAGGCTGGTGATGTGCTAACAGACGGGAGGGGAGCCTTGACAGGCAGTGGGGGTGCTTGATCCCCATCCTGCCCACCCACTGCCCCACCTTCAGAGACTGGACTTGTGCTGCCATCAAGAGCCTCAACAGGAGAAGCAGGTGTGACCTGGGATCTGGCCTCAGGGGCTCGGGCTGTTGTGCTGGTTCGAGGAAGCAGGCCCCAGCGGCGGAGACGTCGGATCAAGCGGCGCACCCAGCGTCCTCGCTGGCGGCGACGGGTCCCTGAGGTTCCCCCTGGAGTCATATCCTGGCGCAAGATTTGTAGCAGGGAACGCAGGTTGCCCAGCACTGAGTTCTGCAAGGAGAAGTGGTGGACTTGACAGTTGAAGGCAGGTAAAGCGCAAAAAAGCCTAAGAGAAGCAGGGGGCAGGGCCAGGGGCAAGGTTGTAAACAGAAAGTTCTAGGGTTGAAGTGTGACTTACATCATTAGGGTTTTCTGTAGGGAAGTCCTCTACAGGTGGGATGGCACCCTGGGCAATGAGTTGCCCATAGGAAGGGGGTGCCTGCTGTTGTACAATTTCAGCCTCCATCCGGGAAAGTGGAGCAAAGATGCTGGAAGGAGTGAGAACTAATCAGTCACTGGTAGACCCAGAGTAGTCAATCCCCTTCCCTCCACACCTAAGCCAAGGCAGCCAGAATGGTGCTATGGCTTTATTGAAAGTCATCTCAGGAGATCTCTTTCCTCTTGAGATGGCTTTCATAATCAACACCTGTCTTGACCTCAGGTAAGCACACCTTTCTTCACGTGGACAACCCCAGGAATCCACCCACAAACTGATCACACCAAATACTCAAGGTGGACCTCTCATGATTTTCCCATGGCTGCAAGGGCCCTGTCTAACCCTCAGTCTCTGTTCCTCTCAACCAACCTGATTACCAGAAGCCAGCAGTCCTGTTGCACTGACCTGTACTCCTGCGTCCGTATGGCGTAGAGCTTACAGGTGCAGCCCAGGGCAATGACCAGCAGCAGACCACAGACGAGGCTGCCAATGACCGCGGCTGTGATGACTTTGCGGGGCAGGGTGTAGGAGCAGTCCCACTCATCGCTGCCGTCGGCACAGTCCGGCTGCCCATCACATACCCATGTTTCATACACACACTTCTCGTCTCGGCAGCGGAAGTTGCCAGGCTGGCAGTGCCGACAGCGCTTTTCATCTGCTCCGTCTGCACAGAAGGTCTGGTAGTTGCATCGGTCAGCAGGCAGGTAGCAGGCTGTGGCAGCAGCGGTGCCAGCAGCTCCACAGGGGAAGTGCCCAGGAGGGCAGCCGGGGCAGTCCTCCTCATCAGTGCCGTCGGCACAGTCCCATGAGCCATCACAACGCTGTGCCTCACTGTAGCAGCGTTCACCTAGGCCCTCGCCAGCCCCTAGGCCAGAGCCTGAACTGCAGGGGCGGTCCCAAGGCAAGCAGTAGCCGCGGACATGGTAGGTAGCATTAAAGCCCCGACCACTGCTCCAAGCAACTGTGTGGTAGGCCACAACAGCCTGGCCAGATAGCGTCTCCACAGTGACAGCTTTGCCATTGCTGAAATAGGTGAGGCTGCGCAGCAGCCGGGGCGTTTCTGGGGGCCCAGCGCCATCATATATATGCACTGCATCCCCATAGCCCAGATCCAGGGCTGTGAAGCGTACTGCTAGCCGCCTGCCATCATGGGGGTCTAGCAGCCAGAGGCAGGACTGGGGGTGGGAGCCTGATGCTAGATTTGAGTATCCAGGGGAGGAGAAGACACCATAGAAGTCCTCCAAGGTATGATTGCAGGGTGGGGTGAGGAAAGCAGCTGGAGTTGGGCCAAGGAATAGGTCTGAGCTGCAGCCTGTCTCATCCGAGCTGTCCCCACAGTCATCAACCCCATCACAGTGCTGGGTCCTGGGTATACAACGATGGTTCAGGCACTGGAACTCTTCCTGCAGGCACATCAGCCAATCTGCAGAGAGGTACCAAAGAGAGGGACTGTGAAGCCTGGAGGATTCTTCCAACTGCCCTGGGGAATCCACTGCTGGCTCTAATAGCCCTGAGGATACCCCTGTCCAGCTGGGGCTCCCTATCCTGCTGTCTTCCACTACATATAGGCTCACAGATACCAACTGTTAACTCACCTTGGTTGTAGGAGAGCAAGAAGCCCTGGCCCATGGGGGCTCGGCCCCCAGCATAGATGTAGGTAATGGTGACGTTGCCACCAGGAAGCTGCAGGGGGCTGGCAGGTGCCTGGCATAGGGAGATGAGTGGCTGAAGAGGGGAGTACAAGATTAGGCGTTCTGAGCCACAGGCCAAATGCAGCTTCTGGAACCTATAGAGAGACACAGCAGAGCAGGACATGAGATGGTCTTGATTGCTAATGGTTCTTTATTTGGCAGAACACCACAACACCACAAAAACCCCCAAAACCCATTGCCATTGAGTCCAACTCATAGTGACCATGAGCTGACTAGGTTTTTAAGGCTGTAAATCTTAACTGTCAGACTGCTTCCTCTTTCTCCTGAGGAGTACTTTGTTGTTGTTATGTACTGTTGAGTTGCCTGCAACTCATAGTAACCCTATGTACAACAGCTTTGAACCCTGCTCTTTCCTGAGCCAACCTTATTGTCTCTGACACACTTACCCTCATTACCTCAGTTATTGAGTCAATCCATCTCATGCAGGGTTTTCCTCTTTTGTGCTGTCTCTCTATCCTCCCAAGAATGATATCCCTTTCCAAGGATTGGTCCCTCCTTGCAACATGCCTAAAGTATGTCAGACAGAGCTTCAGAATCCTTGCCTCCAAGGAGCAGTCTGGTTTCACCCTCTCTAGGATGAACCTGTTTGTTTTCTTAGCAGTCCATACTCTTTCATCTCAAGCACAACAGCTAAAAGGCATAAATTCTTTTATTATTCCTAGTCATTGTCCAGCTTTCTGATGCATAGCACATAATTGTAAAGACCACGGTCTGGATCAGGTGCACCTTTGTCTCAGACAGACAGCATTGCTCTTTAGCACTGTGGAAATATCTGTCCCTGACAGCAGACTTTCCCAGTGCAATTCGTTTTTTTATTTCTTGGCTGCTGGTACCAAGAATGTTCATTATTGTGGAGCCAAGCAAACTGTTAACAGTCTCAGTCTCTTCATTGTCTACTACGATGCTGCCAATTGGCCCAGTGGTGAGAATTTTTGTTTTCTTGATGTTGAGCTTCAATCCATATTGAAGGCTGCAGTCCTTGACCTTCTGCAGCAAGTACTTCAGGTTCTCCTCCTCAGTTTCAGCAAGCAAGGTTGTATCATCTGTATATCGCAGGTTGTTTATGAGCCTTCTTCCAATCCTGATGCCACATTCCTCCTCATAGAGCCCAGCATCTCGGATGATCTGCTCCGTATATAGATTAAAAGAAAAGGTGATAGGACTCATTCCTGGCTTACAACATTTCCGATTTTAAACCACGCAGTGTTTCCTTGCTCTGTTCTGACAACTGCCTCCTGGTCCAAGTACAGGTTTCGTATAAGCACAATCAAGTGTTCTGGGATTTCCGTTCTTCTCAGAGTTAGCCACAGTTTATTGTGATCCACAGAGTGGATCAAAATGCCTTTGCATAGTCAATGAAACACAGACAGACATTTCTGTGGTACTCTCCTACTTTCAGCCAAGATCCATCTAATATTAGCTATAATATCCCTAGTACCATGGCCTGCACAGAGGGAGGTAGTGGATTCAAATTGCTGACTTATTTATTAGTAGCTCAACATATATCCCACTGTATTACTAGGGCTCATTCCCCAACATGTTCTAAGAAACACAAACATGTGTTCCTCTACAGTATAAACAGCCAAATGAAAACTTGGTTAATCAGAATCCTTATGTAGTCAATAACGGGGATGGTCCTAACAGGGGTCAATGACACAATGATACATCAACAACTCAACTCAATGCCATCAAATCAGGAGCAAATCGTAGCTGACCCTCCAGCTGCTGTTCAGAGGCTGTAAACTGTACATAAAGAGACTGCCCATTTTTCTCCTGAGGAGCTGCTTGTGGATTCCAACTACTAGAGTGGCACTGCCTTTAGGTGAGCAGCACCATTCCCCTAGAGGCTACACTACCAAAGGTGCATCCTGTTGTTGTTGCTGTTAGATGCCACTGTGTATGATTCATAGTGACCCAATGAACAATGGATCTGAACCTTGCTCTTTCTTGTATCGTCTTCATCTCTTCTGATATACTTGAGCCCATTTTAAAGTCATCATGCCAATTCATCTTGTCGGAGGTCTCTTTTGTTGACCCTCCACCTTTCCAAGCATGATGTCCTTTTCCAAGGACTGGCCCCTTCTAACAACACACTTAAAGTATGTGAGATGAAGCTATGTCATTCTTGCCCCTAAAAAGCACCCTGGTTGCACTTTTCAAAGACACACCTATTTGTTCTTTTGGCAGCCCATAGGATATTCAGTATTCTTCTCCAACATTACAACTCAAAGATATCAACTTTTCTTTTGTCATCCTGATTCACTGTCCAACTTTCTGATGCACAGCAAGTAACTGAAAAGATGATAGCTTGAACAAGACACACCTTCGTCTTTAAACTGACATTATTACTCCTTAGCACTTTGAAGTAGTCCTTGCTAGGAACTTTTCCCAGTACAACACATCTTCTGTTTTCATGATTGCTGGTACTAAAGTGTTAATTGAAGATCCAAGCACAATGAAATAGTTGATAATGTCAATCTTTTCTTCATCTATCAGGATGTTGTCTATTGGCCCAGTGGTGAGATTTTTGCTTCTTTAATGTTGACATGTAAGCAATATTGAAGGATGTAGTCTTTGATCTTCTACAGCAAGTGTTTCAAGTCCTCTTTCAGCAATCAAGGTTGTGTCATCTGCATAACTCAGTTTGTTGATGAGTCTTCCTCCAAACTAGATGCCACATTCCTGTTTATAAAGTCCAGCTTCTCAAATGATTTTCTCAGCATACAGACCAAACAGGTATAAAGGATACTACTCTGACACACCTTTCTTGATTTTAAACCATACAGGTTTTTTGTTTTGTTTTGTTTTGTTTTGGCTCTGCTCACAGAACAGCCTCTTGGTCTAGGTCTAGGTTTCATGTGAGCACAATTTTGTGTTCTCCAATTCCCATTCTTCTCAATGTTATCCATAATTTGTTATAATCCACACAGTGAAATGTCTTTGCATAGTCAATAAAACGCAAATATATGGCAAGGAGCTGCAACTACAATCCCAGAGGTGCACGGTTCGAATCCACCAGATGCTCTGCCGGGGAAGGAGGGACAATCTCCTCCTGTACCAGTCACATCTGATTTGATGGTACACTCACACAAAAATAATAAAATAAAATTAAAAAAAACAAACACAAATATACACTCTTCTGGTAAGGCAAAGTATTATAAGGAAATGTGCAAAGAGCTGGAGTTAGAAAATAAAAAGGGAAGAACTTGTTCAGTATTTCTCAAGCTGAAAGAACTGTAAACAAATTCAAGCCTCGATGTGCAATACTGAAGGATGCTACAGGTAAAATCTTGAATGCTTCCAGGAACCATCAAAATAAAATGGGGGGGAATACCTAGAGTCCCTATAACAAAAATAATTAGCTGACCTGGAACCATTTCCAGAAATAGCATATGATTAAGAACTAATGGTTATGAAGGAAGAAATTCAAGCTGCACTGAAGGCATTAGTGAAAAATAAAACTCCAGGAACTAATGACCTGTCTCAACAAATAGATGCGGCCCTGAATGCACTCACCAGTCTGTGCCAGGAAATCTGAATGATAGTTATTTGGCCAACTGACTAGAAGATTCCCATTCTCAAGAAAGGTGATCCAACAGAATGTGGAAATTATTGAATAATATATTAATATCATATGCAAGTAAAATGTTGCTGAAGATTATTACAAAATAGCTAGAACAGTATATTGACAGAAAACTGCAAAGAGTTCAAACTGGATTCAGAAGAGGCCGTGACACCAGGGAAATCATTGCTGGTGTCAGATGGTTCTTGGCTGAAGCTGAGAATATCAGAGAGATATATCCTGAAAAAATAACTTGTGTTCCAAGGAATGAGCTAAGAGCAGATTAACTGCTCTTTAATTACTGGAACACTGTTACCCAAGTATGGTACCAGCAGTAACTGGCAATGATCATACAATTCAAGGAACAGAATTCACCATTTCCTCCTGAGGCCAAGTGATAAGAACTGAGAACCCTCTATACCAACAGTCTCACCTTAGATTGTCCTCTCCCTGGTCAAACCCTTTTGATTATGAGAAGTGAACTGTGTGAGGCAAACAGCCATGTACTTACCCTTAGCTTAAATCCCACATTGAGAGGAATGTTGAATCTGAGCTGATTAAAGTATGGAATGAGCAGTAGATTAAAGAACCCCCTCAGAGTGGTCCTAGTTGAACCCAGGGGGTGTTTTTAGAGTGGCCACTATCCTTTAGAGATGACAGAATCCAAGCTAGATATCCCAGGGTTGCCCCATGCCAATTCTAATTCATCAGAACATCCCCAGACCAAATAAAATACTTCTCTTTCTCCACAAGGAAGAGATGGAAATCCCACGGCAATGTTGCCATGGTAGGGGCGGAGGGTTGCAGGAGGGAAGGGGGAGAGGCAGAGGGTCTTGCCTGGCTTCTCACCTGATAGTTACAGTCTGCTCTTTGCTGCCCAGGATGAGCCATGTGCAGTTGGCAGAGGAGGTATGGCTGTCCCGGGTCAGGGGTCTCTGCAAGGTTCCCTGCCCTTCCAACAGTAAGGGCTCTTCACAGGCTGCAGAGAAGGAGGTGGGACATCATCAAGCGTCCCTTAGTGCCTCAACTCTCCCAGGCTTGAGGTCCCCTAAGGCCTGGGCTCTTCACAAAGGAGAGGCCTTAAGGTCATAGATCTTCACCCCCTCCCTTCCTTCCACTTAATAATACTAACGTCCTGGACAATTCTGAGGGCTGCTCTATGCCAGTCATTGGGCCAGGATGATCTGGACATTACTGTTTATGATCAGAGAAAGGCTACATTCGAGTTAAGGAGCTCACACAGGGGTATTTGGAAATAACAGAGTGTAGTACATGACAGCTACCAGATGAGGGCTCCCAACAAGCCTCAGTTTCTCCATCTGTAAAATTAAGCTAGATGATCTCTCCTCCAAGATCATGATAGGCGCCAGACGAAATCACAGAGGAAGGAGACGTGTTGGCTCCCACCACACTGCCAAAACGCAGGACCACAGGGGTTCCCCGCACTCACCAGGATGAGGGAAAAGGATCCGGTCCGGATGTGCTAGAGCGCCCCCTAGAGGAAAGGAGAGAAAGGGCAAGAGAGTGAGCCCCTGGGAAATTTCTTTACCTGAGCTGCTCAACCATGAAAGGCGGCCCCTGGGACTTCCCTTCGGGCAGTTTAGGGGTAGGCACAGTAAGGCAGGGGAAGGCTGAAGAATCTGGCCTCGAGGCCGGTTGCCGTAGTTTAGGGAAGCCGGAGAGAGGGTGAGCGCAGAGTTGAGAGGTTGGGCACTTCCGTGGAGGGGGGGGTGTTGGTGTTGGGTGTACCCGGAGGACAGAGGCAGGTAGGGTGGGGAAAGGGGTCCAGCAGAAGGAAAGAAATTGGGAGTAGCTGGGTGCACTGACAGCCTTGGGGGAGGGGTGCCGGGGGTTGGCTTGTTTCGCTTTCTTACCCAGGAGGAGGAGGTGGAGGAAGCAGCTAGCCCGCAGCATCCTGAGCTGTCTAGAGGTACAGGAAGCGTCCCGGAGTTTTTGTCGTCTACCCAGTGGGGAGGTGGCGGCGATCTGGGTGTCCAGGCCACCTGGTGTCGCCTCCCCGAGGGGGCCCCATGGCCAGGGCTCCCCGACCCGTGCTCTGGATGCCAGGGCTGGGGGGCGGGGAGCAGGCAGCTCTGGAGCAGAGGCGGTGCCTTTGGCCAACTTCAGAGTTGTTTTCCCCCCCGCCGCCGCCGTGCTCGCGCTCCCCAGGCCGGCTTCCCGAAGCCGCCGACCGCGAGATTCAGCGCGGAGCCGGCTGCTGAGATGCGCCCTCTCCTACAGCCCGCCCTCAGGCCGCGAACGCCCCTTCCCAGGCCCGGCCTCCACCTGCCGAGGCTTGAGGTCACTTCTTTCTCGGCCCAAACTTTGCCGACTGTCAGCCCTCAGGGCCGGCTCTGGCGCTGCTCAACTTCTCCAGTGCGTCCAGCCCTTGGAGCGCGGCCCGGAGCCGGGCTAAGGGAAGGTGGCTCGCCGGGACGGCTGGCCCTTGCCCAGGCGGTACCCCCGCGGGCCGCCGGCTTGGAGGAGCCGGGTTAGGCGAAGGGGGCGGGCGCCGAGCCTGGCCCCACCCCTGTCAATCAGCGCTCGGGCCCCACCTCCTGGCGCGCTCCAAGCCCTTTCCGGTCCTGCCCGGACTTGTCAGTCTGCCCTTCACCAGCCATTTCAGCCTCTTTTGGTAACCCTGGTTTGTTTCCTGCACTGGGTGTAGCACGCTCCTTGTCACCGGATACGTCTGTCACACTTTGGCAAAAGTCGACTGCTCATCTCTTAACTGTCCTGCCTCTTTCCTTTGAACCCTTAAGCCGTTTTGTTTGTCCCTCTGTCTGAGACCCTGCACCTTTTCGTAAGGGAGTCTCTGCCACTGCAATTACTACGCGGTGTTGTAACTTTATTTACTCGTCCTTCCTCACCTCGCCCCACCCTTTGGAAATTGAAACTTTGGTTAAGTTTACCTTTATACCCTTAGGGCTTCTCTTCTTCCGGAAATTAATAAGAACTCAAGGTAAATAAACATAAATGCCACTGGTTGGCTGTATGACCCCTGAACCTTTCTTGTGTGCTTCTTAATTGTACAATGGGGCTCTTAAGGTGAACATTTAGAAAGATAATGGGATTTGAGCATTAAGCACAATCCCTAGCATATAAGAAATGCTCTTTGTAGCAATTATGTAATTTACAGGTGAAATTTCTAATTTGATAAGTGTTTGAGGTTACTAATTTCCCGATATTTGAAAATATTTTTCTTCTACCATTAAGTGTTTATCATTAATGGTAATATTTCTAACATTAGCATTGATCAGATTTTTTTTTTAAATTTAGCAAAACAAGTGTAAAAGGTACATTAAGGTAATGTAACACAGGCATGGTTGGTGAAAGATAGGGATACGCTGTGTGAATGAGTTAAAGAGCAAAGGAAAGAAAGGGGGTAAACACCCCTGGAAAGTCAGAGGTGAAGCCAAAAACGTTTGGCCCATGGCCAACAGAAAAAGAGTGCCACAAATTAATAATCCACTTTTTCCACATTTCAGACACAGGTCTAAGGACTTTAAATGTTTTTCCACATAGCATCCTGTTTGTGCAACATGTGATTGCATATATGTACATGATCCCTTAAGTTTCTCCCCAGCAACCAGAAAGGATTTAATGGGACACTGAGCATGCAAAGCTGAGAGGCCACAGGGAGGGTAGGCAGACAGGAGACCTTCCCTTTGGAAACAGGTCTGGCTGGCCTCTTTACCTCTGATAGTGGATCTTCTGATGTTGGGTGAGCTTTAAGCTCTCACCTAAGGCGGTGCTGGGGCTTCAGGCAAAGGGCTTTTCACCCCATGGCTTCAAAAGTGCTGGAAGATAGGGAATATGACTTCAAGAAGGTCCTGTCACACTTGTGGCTTTTGCTGTGTGGATGCCCTGATGTTCATTAAGCAGAGAACTTCAGATGAAGATGTATGATTACCTGTCCGTGTGTGACCACACGAGATTGGAGCGCTGGTGGTAGGATTTCTCCTTGTGGATGCTCTGGTGTAAATATGAGCTGAGTCTATACAGGTCGTGCAGAGCCACTCTAGTGCCTCCAGCTCCTCACCTAGTCGATCCAGTGGTGCCAAATAAAGCTGAACCAGCTGAGGAAGTGTTTGTCGCTAGTGTTTATGGCAAATGGAGGGCTTCTCCTGTGGATGTGGTGGTGCTTTAGCAGCAGAAAGATGTACTTGGAGCTCTCATGTCAGGTTATCACCAAGGTGCAGCTTCTTGCCCCACATGCCTTCTCTGGAGTCCACACCTAAGCTACAGTCACTGCCCAGCTTAGTTGACTTGGGGCTGCCCAGGAAGAAGGTTTACATGCCAGTATTCCAGTTTTGCATGCAGTGCCCAACTGTGTGACTGAGTAAATGAAGCTACAAAGAACTCTCCACTGGCCTGTGACTCACACTTGAGTCTCCGTGGAAAGACTCATTAGCAGGCTTTTGAGCACACCAGCATCCTTGTCCGTTCCTACTTCAGAAGCTGCAGGGGTGGTTCGACCTTTCTGTTTTCAATTCAGAATTGAGCCAGAAGGATTTCTTCCAATCTCAATTTTCTGGTTGTCTTGGAGTCCTAGATCCAACAGCTCCTCCAAGTAGGAGAGCATCTCACCAGGGTTAGAAGAGGGGGTGGCGGTGGGGGGTGTTATGATGACAGTCCTGCAGGTGAAGCAGAGCCCTGTGGTGGTGGTTGGTTCTAGCAGGTGTCCTGGTGATGAGACTGATTGGACAGGACATGACCTCTGCTTGTCCTGTGGGTTCTCCATCTTTCCCAAGGCTTCCTGAAGTTGTGCACACCTGGGACTCCTGTCCTTATTGTTTGAGTGGAGGTTGGGGTCACAGGGTAGAAGCTCCCTCAGCTTATAGCCGCAGATCCTTGTTCTGATCTCAGTGTCCAGTTCCTACTGCTGCAATATCTAAGACACCATTGCCACTAGGTCAGGAGCAAACACTGCTCTGTCCTCTCTTCTAACCTGGGAATGCTGTGGCCATTGAGAAGGTCAAAGCTATGGAGAACATAACTGCAGAGAACAGCAGTCACCTGGACTCAGGCCCATGGCTCCACACAAGCCAAATGGCCTCAGATGTTACGTGATTTGTACATTGTTCGAAACACCACTAGTGTGGTGTTTGCACAATAGCCAAATCACATAATGTCCTATTTCACAGAATTTATGGACATTAAACTATTCCTGCCTATATTTGCTCCTGAAATCTTCTCAAAAGTGTGGTTTTGGGAAGAATGAGTATTCAAAGAAGAATAAAGCATGCAGAACCAGAGGTGAAAAGTAAAGCATAACCAGCAAACCGAAATTTACAAACCATACAGAACTGTGCTGTTAAGTGCATTCATCATCATCAGGAAGAAATAGCCTCAAACTTTCATACATAAATATTTATTAGGATGTGCTACAAGTGCAGTGCTCTGTGCTAGACACTTGAAGGCTAATATTTAAGAGTAAATTGAAGTTAAAAAATATGAAAAAAGTTAAGAGAATCTTGGTATTTTTAATGAGTTTAAGTCTCTGGATTCATAAAAATCTCATAGTTATGCACACGCATGTTTATCACGGCTTTGTTCACAATAGCAAGGAGTTGGAAACAACCTAACTGCCCATCAATAAATGAATGAATAGAGAAGCTGTGGTATATTCACACAATGGAATACTATGCAGCATTGAAAAACAAGGAACTCATGCAATATTATTCAAAATGAGTGACCCTGGAGGACATTATGCTGAGTGAAGTATCTCAGTAAGGGACGGACAAATACAGCATGGTGCCACTGTTGTAAAGTGGGACTGACATTGGGGTTGGGAGGAGACTGAGAAAGATGGGATAAATTATGTATACTTCATTGAAACAGATGATAGAGAGTTAGAAGGGATATATTATTAGGTATTATTGTCATGACGAGAGTCTAGAAGAAGGCTGCATAGTGGAGTTGACTTAGGGGGAGGAATTGTAAAACAATGAAAGAATTTTTCTTTTACTTTCCAAAGAGAAGAGCTAACTGGGGGGAGGTTGGACAGAGAGAAAAGTGCAACAGTAAATGAATGGAAATCTAAAGTCTCTGTAAATTTTCATTAAGATTAATAATAAAAAACATCTCATAGTAAACCCCTATGTATCTTTTGAATGCGTTTATAGTAATGTTCTTAGGAATTTTATTTTTATTAATTTTTATTAATTTTAATGACAGTTTACAGAGACTTAGGATTTCCATTCATTCATTGTTGCACTTTGTTCTTAGGAATCTTTGAGAAATTATGACAAATAATGAGAATAATACAAAATGGACAGATGTTTGGATTTTTAAAATAAGAACAATGTCTTTGAGTTGTGGTGCTGGAGAAGAGTATTGAACATACCATGGACCACCAAAAAAACCAAACAAGTCTGTCCTAGAGAGGGTGAAATCAAGTTGCTCCTGGAGGCAAGGATTTTTGAAGCTCTGTCTCATATACTTTGGGCATGTTGCCAGGAAGGACCAATCCTTGGAGAACAGCATCATGCTTGGGCGGGGGGTGGGGGTGGGGTGGAGGCACAGAACAGGAGAGGAAGACCCTAGATGAGATAGATTGACACATTAGCTGGGGCAATGGGGTTAGTGTGTCAGAGACAGTGAGATGACTTAGGATAGGAGAGGGTTATGAGTCGCAGGCAACTCAATGGCACATAACAACAACTATGCTCAGGGAGCTTTGGTGACAGTCTATGGGGCATTGGCCTGCTAACCCAAAGGTAGTGCCTCTCTTGATAGTTCGAATCCACCAGTGGCTCCAATCTCTTCCTCAAATCACAAAAGACTGTGCAATTTGCAGTCTTAGAAACCCAGGGGAGGTTGAGCTCTGACTCATTTCTGACTCAATAGCAATAAATTTTGAATTTTATATGCTATGCACTATTTAAGCACTTCACATACATTATTTAATC